TATGATATTGATATGATATTGATGTTATATTATACCGCGCTGAGTTGTGCATGGGCCCGGTACTTTTGTCTTACGATGCGTTTTTGGCATGGTGATAATGCGGCATCTCTACTATAAAACCTCGTGCCGGGACCTCATTGCTGCTTCATAAAGTTTCAGAGAGTGCGCGAGTTCAGTACATTATAAAAAATTTTATAAAAATGGAGCATATTGTATTTTATATCCAAGAATGGAAGACAAAATTCTTGGATGTATTAAACAATAATGTTGCATTAAACATAATTTTTAAATGGAATGTAAGTATCATTTTCATGATAAATTGTTAAAAAATTGTGAAAAAAAGAATGTGTAATAATAAATATTTTTATATAGTCCCAGGATGAAATTGAAATCCCGGGTTTTGTAAATATAAGCCACCGCCAGTGGGTGCGGACGATACGCCGGGCAAGGAGGAGCCACTTCTCTTACATGTGGGGCGACACCCCGGAGAATCACCAGGGCGAAGATATTTTTGACCTGTGGCGGCTCTTCGGGGAGGAAGAGGAAGAGGAGCTGGAGGAAAGAGAAAATTGGGAAATGGCCGAGGAGGAAAGAGAAAAATGGGAAATGGATGATGAGTTGGATTGGGAGGGAGAAGAGGAATGGCAGGATGTCTTATCTCGAGGATTTTAAGGTATGTATCCCTGTTTTACAATTTTTTATATTAAATAAATTATTGAAAATTAATGAAATGTGTATCTTTTCTGTTACAGAAGCGGTCCCCCTTAGCCCGACGCATCGTCCCCCATTTAATTTTTATATTTTTATTTTATTAATTTTTAATTTTTAATTTTATATTTTATTAATTTTTAATTTTTAATTTTATATTTTATTAATTTTTATATTATTATTATTATTATATTTTATTATAATCTTAATTTTAAGTACACACACACACACACAAATTGTATAAAATACACACATTTTTAATAAATTGTATATCCGTAAAAAAAATCTAATTATTTACACGCCTCTCCATGCGTTCCCATCCCTATGTCTCTCTTGCGCTAGTTTTAAGTATTGTTATCTCTCATGCGTTAATCTCAACATTATCGTTCTCTCTTGCATGCGTCGTCTTCGCGCTATCGTTCTCTCTCGCACGCGCTAATTGTAAATCTTCGCGCTATCGTTCTCTCTTTCGCGCGCTCATTGTAAGTCTCGCAGTATTATCGTTATCTCTCGCACGCGTTGTTATTCTCGATATTATCGTTCTCTCTCTTTCGCTTAGAATATACTCGTTGTTCACTTACCTTTGCGTCGTCCTTCTCCCACGTTAACGCCATCCTTGTCGCACTCGTAGCACTGTCCTCTTCACACTTTGCACTGTCCTTTTCCCACACGTAGCGCTGTCCTTCTCATACCACCGTCCATCGGTCGCGCCGCGGATTCCCCTTCACTGCGCGGACCCCCTCGTCCATCGCTCGCGCTGCGGATCCCCCTTCACTGCGCGGACCCCCTCGTCTATTGCTCGCGCCGCGGATCCCCCTTCACTGCGCGGACCCCCTCGTCCATTGCTCGCGCCGCGGATCCCCCTTCACTGCGCGGACCCCCTCGTCCATCGCTCGCGCCGCGGATCCCCCTTCACCTCGCGGACCCCCTCGTCAATCGCTCGCGCCGCGGATCCCCCTTCCCAGCGGGTGACGTCACCAACCGCGCGCCGCGGTTCCTCCTTCCCCGCGCGTGACGTCACTCCCACCGCGGTTCCCCTCGCCCCTCACCCCCTGAGAGGTCCTGGGTTAGAACCCGCTTAGTCTCACTACTCGAGAATTGAAAATAATTCAACGAAAATAAAATTCAAAAATAATATTACGGGTCAATGAGCCGGAATCGCGTATCATGTGGCGACAAACTAAAAGATAGCACTTATACGTTACTTTGGCAAGGATAGACAATATAGTAGAAATAACGTATGAATTAAGTGCAAATTTATTAACATATTATCAAACGTTTCTGCCCATATCGAGCTCTCTTCAGTGAAAAAATTATATAAATGAATAGTAGTGAACGATAAAGTCGAGCAGAATTAAAATTAAAGACATACAAATTGATATAAAAAAATTCGCAAGTGCAAAATAAGTACAACAATATCAGTAAGTCTGCGTACGTGTGCAGACATGGCACTCATAAAAATTATAACAGAATGTGAGTTGCGTATACAATGATATAATATATCTGTATAACGTGTGCAGACATAACGCTCAAAAATTATTATCGTAAAATGAAGAATTGTTAATAGGAAGTCGCTGGTATATAACTTATCAAGAGCTCCAAAAATTGTAATGGATCTGTGTACATGTGCAGATATGACGCTCACCTTCGCTGTTGGAATGTTTATAAGAAAGGTCCGTTCCTCGAAACAAAAACATAGTAAAAACTCAGGAGATTTCGTCTTCGGATGTAATGAGTTATTAAATTGCGTAAAATCCTGAGAATCTCCGTAGGCAATCTGTAATAATTATAAACAAAGGAGCAATAAGTCTAGCACATATAACCACAGATGTGATTGAAAAGTATAGAGTAAAATGCACAAAAGTCATAATTTAAAAATAGATAAAAAATAATATCATAGACAAGTCGTTACAATTTTGAAAACAGAGGTGGTAATTCAAGAACAATTGTATAAAGAAAAAAGAGGCGATACAGATTCAAAATTAAAAATAATGATTGAGAACGATTGAATATAACAGAAAGAGTAAAGAAAAATTACTGTTAAAAAATTCGTATAATAATGATATCATGAATAAAAGCTGCAAAAGGACGATGGAAACAAAGACAAAGAAAAGTGAAATAACGCTCACCGAAACTGCTGTAAAAGATAGTATGAAAGAGCAGATAGAATAAGGCATATCCAAAATATACGGAGCGTCGAATTATGTGTGTCGAAAGATCGCAAGTTCGAACGGTAATGAGACGCGTATGCCGAAATATCGAAGCTGGCTGTTGGCAAGGGAGAGGATGGATAGGTAGCGTAAACGCGGATGGAAGTGGATTGGGAGCCAGGGGAACGGGGAAAGCGGGGAGCAAAGGGAGGGAGGAGAGGAACAGAGTGGAGGGAACATAAATGAAAAATTAAGTTAATTATGAGAAGGGAAAAGCACTAATACTTTTTAAAATGGGAAAGTAAGAGTTGTTTAATTTATCAATATCGTCTTTTATATTAATACTGTGAGCTTGTTTTTTGATGTGTAGCATTTCGGAAATTAATCTCTTAATATAGTGCGGTTCATTATCTAATATAGAGATATTCTGCCAGTCAAATTCATGGCCTGCTAATCTATGTTCAGACACGACAGTCAGATTAGCTGAGGGATTATCTATGTTAGATTGATGTTCTTTAATACGAGTTCTCAGTTGTCTCTTGGTTTGTCCACCATAGGAGACATTACAATCTAGACAATTAATCTTGTAAACCACATTGGACTTATATTCATTAGATAGAGAGTCTTTTTATGCACTTTGTTCGCGAGTGAGCGCGGATAGCTGCGACAGCGCAAAGTTTTGAAAACGCGGCAGACGGATGGCCGCAAACAGAGTATTTAACGCTAAAAGATTTGACACGACACGTAATTTTTTGGTTTTTTCAGTTTTATTTTTGAACACCACACAATTAATAAAAGGTTTACACGAATAAAAATGAACACAAATATTTCAGGTACAGAAAGAATAAAGAGAAGTCCGAGATTGCGAAGTCCGAGTGAGAAAGCGGTCGTTTGATAGTGCAAGAGCGGTTTTACGAAATACTGCGAGCAGCGATAAGTGCGAGACTTGGCTGGTCCACGCGCGGTGCCCATTATAAAGCGAGCGGATTTTTGGGCCCGCTTCGACGTGGACCAATTAATTTAATATTTTAGCGGTGACACTATTGCGTGTGTCATTGGTTGTTAATGACGTCTCACGTTGGATGTCGTTTATTTTTCATGCGCGCAATCTTTTTAGATCAGCTGATTGGCGATCAGCTGATCGTGACGCATGGGCGCGCATGCCCATGAGCGGCGTAAATTTTAACGGCGGTTGACAATAATATTGTCAGCGGTGGTAATGAGCGGTTTTTTTGATGGCGAAAAAAAGCGAGAACTCGAGCGTTCGAGTTTTTCCTGATAAACAGACATTTCGAGAAGATTCTCGACGCCCGTTAATTTTAAATTCTCGAACATTTATTAGCGAAAACATGCGGATTTCGCTATGCGCTTTTTAGACTAGAATGATTAGTTTTAATTTTGAACATCCCGCCCGCCTCGTCAGTACGTGACGAAATTTACGAGTGTGTGCGGTTACAAACAAGTGTCGCGAACTGTGCTATTAAGAGATGTGAAATGAGTGATGAATGGAATGTAAAGTGACGTAATACGAGACACGTTGTTTAGTTTAATCGAGTCTTCCGCGAGAACATGTGATGCAGTGAAATGAGGCGTATACTTGTGAATTGTGAATGATCTCGCGAATGTGATGAATCTCGAGTGCTGGTGTGTTAGACAATCGCAAGTGAAGTGCAGTGGTGAGTGAACGTGAATGCAGATAGTGACGCGAAGTTCGGAAAAAAAATGAACGAAAAGTTGATTACGCGGTACGATCATCAGACAATGCACGGCTCCGGCCGAGATAAACATTTCGGTGGACGGACAAGTTAGTTATAAAAGAAAAATAAAATAAAATAAAATAAAATAAAACGCGGTGCTTTTTTTTTCGCTCATGAATCCGGGTGCGTTGGTGCTGCGGTGTCGGCTCCAGGCAGGAGGACGATCTTGGTGATCTGGCCGGACAAGCTCCGAAGATGTGGTGCGTATGGTGACCACGCGTGTCACGCCGTCGTCCCCAGGATGCAGCCGGGTGATCCGGGCGAGTGGCCATCGGGCCGGCGGTGTTGTGTCCGACCGCACGAGACACAGGGCGCCGACGGTGAAACTGGCTGAGTCCTTCAGCCATTTCGGTCGGGATGCCAAGGAGTTGATGCACTCTCGTGATCACCTCTCCCAAAAGTGGTCGCGCATCCTTTGGAGGAGTTTCCAGCGGGACAGAAGACTGGAGCTGCCGTCCGCCAGTGAGGGTTCGGGCACTGCCAGCAGAGGAGCTCCGATCAGGAAGTGTCCTGGAGTGAGTGCCGTTATGTCGTCGTGATCGTCCGAAAGTGCTTGAAGAGGACGCGAGTTGAGGCACGCCTCCACTTGAGCGAGGAACGTTGACATCTCCTCGAAGATGAGGGTCGTGTCTCCGAGGACCCTTCGCAGATGGTGTTTCGTCGACTTCACCGCCGCTTCCCAGAGCCCGCCGAAGTGAGGTGCTGCCGGTGGATTGAATCTCCACCGGATCCCGTCGGACGCTGCAATGTGAGCGATGCGTCGGCCGTCGGATGATGATGCCTGAAACAGGAGTCGAAGCTCTCGATCCGCTCCGACGAAATTGGTGCCGCAGTCGGAGTAGACTTCCTTGCACAGGCCCCGACAAGAAGTGAAGCGCCGAAACGCAGCGAGGAATGCATCGGTGGAGTAGTCCGATGCGGCTTCCAGATGGACGGTCTTGGTGGCGAAGCAAATGAAGACGGCAATGAATCCCTTGTGCGACTTGTGACCTCTTCCCTTTCCGGTTCGGATGAGAATCGGCCCGGTATAATCAACACCGGATCGCAGGAATGGACGTGCCGGTGCGACTCGTGCCGTTGGAAGGCTGCTCATCATGGGCTGTGGTACTGCGGCTTTCCATCTCACACACGTGACACATCGGTGAATGGTTCCCTTGACGATGGAGCGTCCTCGGGGAATCCAGTACCGCAGGCGAAGCAGTCCTAGGGTGAGCTGAACCCCGCCGTGAACCGTTCGTCTGTGGTGTGCCTTGACGAGGAGTTGCGTCATCCACGACTCTGGAGGTAAGATGATCGGATGGCGTTCGTCTTCTGAGAGCACAGCGTGCTTCAGCCGGCCCCCGACTCGAATGATCCCATGGTCGTCGAGGAAGGGGGTTAATGTCGATATTGGACCCTTGACTAACTTTTTATTCTGTTTCAGGGCTGTGATCTCCTTGGAGAAATGGAGAGCTTGCACCAAACGGAGCCAGAGGAGCAAGGCTGCTTCTAGCTCGACAGGCGTGAGATTGAGGTGAGCCTTCGAATTCGGTGGGTTGCCTCGCCATCGGCAACACCAGGCGGTGACCCTCAGGAGGCGATGGAGATCGGAGAATCTGAGAAGTATCTCTGGCTCGGCTTTCTCCGTGGTCAAGTGGGAGGCGATTGATCTCGTCTCCGGCACCTCGACGTCGTGTGTGGCGTGGTCGTGCTGTGGCCAGAACGCCGGATCCTTGGCGAGCCATGGGGGTCCCGTCCACCAGAGGGAATGGTTGAGCAGGTCCCGGGACTCAATTCCTCGAGAGGCGCAGTCAGCGGGGTTGTCTCGCCCTGGGATGTGTCGCCATCGTGCCTCCGGAAGTTTCGTCTGGACGTGGGACACCCGGTTGGCCACGAAGGTTTTCCATTTCGAGGCGTGTCCTTGTATCCATTGAAGCGTGACCCGGGAGTCCGACCATAGAGTAACTGGAGCTGAAAACAAGTCTAAGGCTTCGCAGAGATGAAAAGTCAGGTTAGTGACCAAGACTGCAGCGCACAATTCCAAGCGCGGTAGAGACACGGGCTTAATGGGCGCAACTTTGCTTTTTGCAGCAAGCAGGCTGATCGTGGTCGAGGAGGAGCTCACCACGCGGAGGTAAACGACGGCTGCGTAACCTCGCTCTGACGCGTCAGCAAACCCGTGGAGCTCAACGTGATTTGGTTGACTGTCGGCCCTCAGCCATCGTTGCAACCGGAACTGTTCTAACAGCGGAAGATCCTCAAGCAGACGTCTCCACAACGTCTCATCTGATTGAGGCAGTGGGGAGTCCCAATCTGACTGCTTCATCCATGCTGACTGGATGAGGATTTTTGCACGAGCGGTGACTGGGGCTAACCAGCCTAAAGGGTCGAAGATTCGAGCCGTCTCCGACAACGCCTGTCTTTTGGTCAGCGGGGCGGTCGTGCGAGGCTGGAGGCGGAATGTAAAGGAGTCGCTGCGGGGGTGCCACCGTAGCGTCGGGTGCGCTTCGTCCTCCCAGTCGTGGTGTGGTGTGGCTGCTGAAGTTGATGCTCCCTTGATATCTCCTCGAGGATCTTCTCGTGATTTGAAGCCCACTTCCTCAAGGGAAACCCGCCCGCCGTGCAGAGTCGGCGTAACTGCCTCTTTCTCGACTGCCTCGAACAGGGTGCTGGCGTCAGTGACGATGTCGTCGACATAACAATCGCGCCTCAAAGCGACTGCCCCCTTGGGGTTTGCCGGCTCCTCATCGTCGGCTAATTGGCGGAGAGTCCTGATAGCCAGGAAAGGTGCACAGGCCAATCCGTATGTCACCGTACTGAGTCGATATTCCTGGACGTCATCAGCGCGTTGTCGCCTCCAGAGGATCCGCTGCAGATCATGATCGTCGGGATGTACTAGGATCTGCCGGTACATCTTCTCGATGTCAGCGATGAAGACGAAGCGGTGCCAACGCCAACGAAGAAGGACGTCGGCGAGAGTTGGCAGAAGGTTGGCTCCGACCAGTAAGGTGTTGTTGAGCGAGTCTCCGGCAGGCGTACACTGGGATCCGTTGAAGACGACTCTCAACTTGGTGGTCGTGCTGGAAGTCCGGAGCACTCCGTGATGCGGTAAGTAGCACACGGCGTTTTTGACAAGCGGTGTTTTGATCGAGGTCATATGTTTCAGGTTCGAGTACTCTTCCATGAAGTCGCCATAGAGCTGGTTGAAGCTGGCGTCTCTGGAACGGCGTTGCTCCATTGCCGTAAGAAGTCGCTCGGCGGACTTTCGCGTGTGATCAAGAGGTGGAAGAGGGCCAGCCAGCGGAAGACGCACCATGTACCTTCCGTCGGCGAGGCGCTCATGAGTGCGAGCGAAGATCTCTTCACATCGCTCTTCGTCCGGAGTAAGCACGACGGAAGCAGGCTGCTCCCGCTCTTGCTCCCAGAACCTCTGAACTAGAGCGTTCAAGTCGTGGTCGATGGTGCACTGGAGGGAACTGAGGGAGCCGTTGGCCGTTACGACTCCGCAGCCTCCGGATAATATCCACCCGAACGTAGTCCTCTGCGCGATGGGTTGGTCCTTGCGACCCTTGCGGAGACCTTCGAGGAGAATCCCGGAGAAGGCATCGGCGCCGAGGAGAAGATGGATGGGGATATTGCGGATCCGCCAGAGTGAGGCCGTGAATGTGCGGCCACGTGGTGGGGCCCTGAATTGCTGGTCCCTGGTAGGAAGACAGCCGTGGAAGGACGTAGGCGACTACGGTGAGAGGGGCTCCAGTCACTCTTGACTTGAGAGCGAGCGTCACCCTTCCGCGAGTGGATCCTGAGCATGCTCTTCCGATTCCAATTATGGACATCGAGGAACGGATGCGTGCCAGACGGAGGCGCTGCGCCAAGTCCTCCGATACGAGGGACACTTCGGATCCCTGGTCGAGCAGGGCTCGCACATCCTGAGGTCGTCCCAGACGGTCGGTGAGTGTGACGCGCGCGGTGGCGAGAAGAATCGCCCTTTTGTCGAGTGAAGTGCGTGTCGTGGAGAAGGTGCTCGCTTCGTGTGGTGTTGGTGTTGTGTACGCGTCGTGCAACAGCGTGTGGTGCCGCGACTTGCACGTGAAGCACGTTTTGATGGACTGGCACCTTGCCATCATGTGGTTCCCGAGACAGTTAAAGCAAAGTCCGCTAACCTCAACGAATGATTTTCTTTCGCTCGCGGACTTGGACTTAAACTCGGGGCACTGCATAAGTGTGTGTTTGCCCTTGCAGGCGGCGCATTTGGACGCGTCAGGCCCGTTTTTCGCGAAGTGAGACTTCGCGGTCCGAGAGGCTTCCCCGGCACTCTTCGTGGCGATCTTGGGTTTGGCGGCGTTCAAGGTAAGAATCTTTTTACTAATGAAATCAGTGAGTGCCTCGTGAGTCGGCGGATCGGGAGAATCGCTGGTAGAAGACTCCTACTCGAGGCGCGTTCGCGAGTCGAATAATTCGATCACCAAGTGATTGAGGAGATCCATCCCATGGGAATTGATGGGTCTTCCGATGCTTTCTTGCGCGTTGACGGTGGCCGTGACGGCGTGATGGACACGGCTTAGCTCTTCGGCGGACTCGGACTTCATTTTTCCGACGGCAGTGAAGGTAGAGAAATTTGATCGCATGAGCACTTTTTTATTCTCAAAGTGTTTTGCCAAGATCGCCCACGCGCGATCGTAATTCTCGCTTGTAACCGTTAGTGATCGGATTAATTTTTCCGCAGATCCCTTCACGCAGGAGCGAAGGTAATGGAACCGCTCAATGTTCGAGACTGACGGATTCTCTCCGACGAGGGATAAAAAGAGGTCCCGGAAGGAAGGCCAGTCTTCGTAGGCGCCCGAGAATGGCGGCAATTTTATACGCGGCAACGCGGTTTTGGGAGAAGACTCCGACTTTGGTTCGATTCTGTGTGCGACAACTGACTCGGCGCTTAGCGTAGCGTCAATTGTCAGCGTAGTCGCTCAACGTGCTCCGCTGAGAAACGTAAGTACTGTGACGTGACGCTTGTGAGCTCCGTCACCATTGCCCTGTCGAGGGGAAACAGCGTGCGCGGGGTCGTTCCTCGCGCCTGAGAGGGAATTTAAATATGAATTTATTCGTAATTTTAAGATTTATTTTAGCTTTAATGTAAGATCCGCGAATAAAGTGCGGCTGCTGTGCGAGCGTGCGTTATCTCCTTTGTACATGAAGATACAGCCAGATACCGGAAGGAGAGGGAGCCGTATAGGAAGATACCGGATATGCCGCAGAAGATACCGAAGATACCGCAAGAAAACAAAAGGTCATGTAATGAGATCCCGTACCGTAGCTATGCTTAATTCTGCAGGAGATTAAATCTGCATTATTTCAGATTAAAAGACGGCAGAACACCCGGACGACGGGGCGGAAGACAACCTCCCAGGCGGCCGACTGGGGAATAAAGAAGATTTCGAAAAAGACGAGGATACGGCCTGGCCAGCCGGTCCCGTCTCCAAGAATTAGAGATACCGTCGCCCGTGGGTTCTGCTCCTGCATAAGGGCAACGCCGTTCAACAGCTATGACTCGGGAGGGGGCGGAGAATCAACCCCCGTTCATCCGAAATTGACGAAATGCGCGGAAGATCGGCGCGGGATCCGAGGACCTCACGGAAGCACGGGAAATTCGTCACTGTTCGGTGAGCTCGTGCCCCGCAGACACGTGTGACGAACCTTGAGGAAGCGACCCTGAAGGAAGCTATAGCCGACGATCATTGTAAGCCGCCGCACAGGTAGCCTTATTATTATTCATCCGGGATCAGTTGGCGTCGTTTAGAGATACCGTCGCAGGGCGACGAATATTTCGTAAAGATATCGCGTAAAGTATTTGTACTTGTACCGTAATTGCCGGAAGCCAACTGTCCCCGGGTGTCGCGGATTTGTTCCTCTCAGGGGGTTCGTGCCGACAGTCTCGTACCGTACCGTAGAATTTTATATCGTTGATTACCGCTAAATGTTGTTTCGTGTCATATTAAGCGTGTATGTTACCGTTATGTTACGTGCCGAAATCTAAGTCCTAGCGTGACGTGGCAATTTTGGTCGTTTCGTATCGCATATCGAAAGGCGGGATTTGCGCGGAAAATTTCTTCGCGAGCGTGTGTTACCGTAAATGAACAATTCGCTCTGCAAGAATATTTGTTAACGCGAAATCTCCGCTGAATCATCTTCCTGTTACCGCTTATTCAAAAATTCTATTGTTCGACTGAGAGTCTTTGTTGCCGAGTACACAAGGTCGCGAGAAGACCGTTAAATCAAGCAAACAGTTCCGCATAAACATTGTTACCGCTACCGTTTTCCGAAGCCTTGGTTTTTCTGCCAAAAATATACCGGGAAATATTATCGCCGATTACCGTACCGTAAAATCGATTCGAGATATATCGAAATTTTTGAAGAGACGTGTGCCGTTGAAACGATACTAACAGGATACTCGATTATGATCTTCTATTCATTATCCGTTACTGTTGAATCATTGTATCGCAAATTACCGTCAACTAGTGTATTTAGTTCTGTTCGATTAATATCGAGATTCGCGCGAGGCTCGTGCCTCGACCTGTGTTCCGAAGTCGTACGTGTTGATTGTACGCCGACCGCGAGTCTTATCCCGTAGTCGATTACCGCTAATTACCGTGAATTATTGTAAGAAATACCGTTCAATTTTTATCGAAATCTTGCGGCGGGTCTCACGACTCCGGCCGTGTTCGGAAATTTGACTGAGTATTGTATCTCGCGTATTAAAGATTACCCCGCTGTAAATTATTCTTTGAGCTTCCGTATCGCAATGTGTGAGATGTTATACATCACTTTATTACCGCTTTCATCGTTGTATTATAGTCACACATTTTGAATTGATCGTTTCCGTTATCACGATCCCTGACCTTCGCGTCAGTCGTTACAAGTCAAGTCCTTTGTCTTTCAAACTCGGGTCTTCGATTGTTTATATTCCGAGATTTATCTGTTCGTTCTTAGTTTGTTTTTTTTTTATACCGAATTATACATATATTGATCTTATCTCTGTTATACCGTTTACTATCTGTACCATTATTGTTTAATATATTTAGATAATTATAAGTAAGATAACTGACTGTCGATTATTTCTCTCTCCTAAATACTTTCTAGCGCTCTCTCTCGACATCTAATCCACAAAGAACTCTGCCCCTCTGCCAAATACTGAGCCCGAGGTTACCGGATCTTGCCGTTACCGTATCGTTATCGTGGCGCGGAAATACCGCGCCTGGCGCCCAATTACCTAAGTTACCGTATTATAAGTTACCGCATTTTTAGTTACCGCACGATACCGTTTCTCAGATACCCTACTGAATTTTTATAATCTAATTTTTATACCGGCCAAGACCTTGCACGCTACCTCCTCGAGATCGGCGTTCTCGAGGCGGGCAACGGCGTCGCAGTACATTCCGCAGTATCGATGAAATCGTTTTTTGCATACTCACTCTCCAAGTATCTATCTTTAAGCGCCGCTCATATCAGTTCGTGTTGAGCCTCGAATTTCGCCCAGAGGTTGTCGAAGATGGTGAGGCGAGCCTGGATGGCACCGGCGGTGATGTTGGTGACTCCCATCTTGCGGAGGTTGTCCACGGAGCGAGACATTCGCCCGTGGATGTCGGTTTGAGCCTCTAACAAGGCCTTCAGGTCGGCACTCATCTTGATGTATCTGCTTTTCTGTCTGTTTAGAAGATTTGCAGCACTGCACAGCACTGAGAACGTCACCCACGAAACTGCGGATGCGGATAATATCCGGCTCGAAGGACCAGAAATGTTCGCGAGTGAGCGCGGATAGCTGCGACAGCGCAAAGTTTTGAAAACGCGGCAGACGGATGGCCGCGAACAGAGTATTTAACGCTAAAAGACTTGACATGACACGTAATTTTTTTGTTTTTTCAGTTTTATTTTTGAACACCACACAATTAATAAAAGGTTTACACGAATAAAAATGAACACAAATATTTCAGGTACAGAAAGAATAAAGAGAAGTCCGAGTGAGAAAGCGGTCGTTTGATAGTGCGAGAGCGGTTTGACAAAGCGGTGAAGCAGTTTTACGAAATACTGCGAGCAGCGATAAGTGCGAGACTTGGCTGGTCCACGCGCGGTGCCCATTATAAAGCGAGCGGATTTTTGGGCCCGCTTCGACGTGGACCAATTAATTTAATATTTTAGCGGTGACACTATTGCGGCGTGTGTCATTGGTTGTTAATGACGTCTCACGTTGGATGTCGTTTATTTTTCATGCGCGCAATCTTTTTAGATCAGCTGATTGGCGATCAGCTGATCGTGATGCATGGGCGCGCATGCCCATGAGCGGCGTAAATTTTAACGGCGGTTGACAATAATAATTGTCAGCGGTGGTAATGAGCGGTTTTTTTGATGGCGAAAAAAAGCGAGAACTCGAGCGTTCGAGTTTTTTCTGATAAACAGACATTTCGAGAAGATTCTCAACGCCCGTTAATTTTAAATTCTCGAACATTTATTAGCGAAAACATGCGGATTTCGCTATGCGCTTTTTAGACTAGAATGATTAGTTTTTATTTTGAACACACTTTTATAAACTGATTTAATCTATTGAGGATAAGAAAGGCTAAGTTTTTATTGAGTTGATGTGACAGAGGTGTAAATTTGGAATAAATATTTTTTATAAACGGAATCACGAAATAGGATGGGGGGGGGGAAGAATCAGGTGTAGAAGGATGAGACGGAGGAGAAGAAGGGGAGGAGATGACTGGATTTCGAGTAGAATGAATGAAATTGCGGATTCTATTGCCAATGACACTAAATATAAAATTAAGCGAATAATTGTTTTCAATTAAAATTTTGATGACGATATGAAAATTCTTTTCATGGAAAAGTGGGTGAGAGATATGGAGCACTTTATCAGTTAAGCTTACAATAATACCCTTCTTATGAGCAATGGGATGGTGTGAGTTGAAATTTAAAAACCGTCCCGAAAAAGTAGGTTTTCTGTACCAGTCACAATTTTATTGTCTTGAACAATGAGTAAGACGTCAAGAAAGCTCAATGATCGATTCTGTTCCATTTCAACAGTAAATTGAATTCTATGGTGGAAAGAATTAAAAATCTTTTGGATGTCAGAAATGAGTGTGAGAGGGGCAGCGGAAATAATGTCATCAACGTATCTATAGTAGAATGGAACATTGCATGGTAATAATTTCAGAGCTTTCTCTTCCAAATCACACATCACAATGTCTGCTAAGATAGGAGACAGAGGAGAACCCATTGGTGTGCCGAAAGTTTGTTTGTAAAAGACATTATCAAAGGTAAAAAAAGTGGAGTTCATGATTAATTTCACGCCTCTAATAAACTTTTGAAACGGAAGAGAACAGCCCAATATATAATTTTTTCACTGAAGAGAGCTTGATATGGGCAGAAACGTTTGATATTAAGTAGGGAGAATAGGCCGTTTCTAACTCACTTTTTCCATTGGTGCGAGAGAGAGGTCTCGTAGAGCGAGAGAGATAGAAAGATATCTGAGGAGCAGGGTGACGGCGGCGGGGGTGAGCAGGGGGAGTAGGTAGGGCAAGGGGAGCCGCTCGCCATCGGGTGGGTAAACGGAGGGTCGTGACGTCACGCGGAGGGGGATGGCGAGGGGGCGGCGCGGCGAGGGGGAGCGGGCGGTGGTTTCGACGCGCCAAGGAGAAAGCGACAAGCGGCCTCGGGCGTTTCCGTCGCGTCTTACGCATCGCTCGAATGTAAATTCGAATATTTTTTTCTTTCCGTTTGTAAAAAGGCGCGCGATGTATCGGGAGAGCACGCGGAACGCGGCGGTGTTTCTCGTCTTGTCTCGTCTCGTCGTAGACGTCGGACGCGAGTTCGCCGCGCGCGAGCGCGCCACTCGAATTTTAACCTAAATGTGCGCGCGTTTCGTAAACGAGCGTACGATGTATCGGGAGAACACGTCGCGGGTAGAGGCGTCTCTCTCTCGTCGACGGAGATCGTCGACGGAGGCCGTCGATTCTTCGTTCTCGACGAAGAGCGCGTCGATCGGACGAGAGCCTCGTCGCGCGTGCGCGATATCGCCTCTTCGCGCAATATCGCGGTCGTCGCGCGCGCGCGCGTTCTCGGATGCACCGCTTATTTCTCCTTTTAAGCGCGATAACGAGAGAAGAGCGGGATTCCGTTAGGATTCACTCGCGCGCGGGCGAGGGATATTCGCGGCGACGCTTTCGTCGCCATTCCTTCCTCTCGAGCGCGTCGCGCTAAGACGAGAGGGATATTCGCGGCGACGCTTCCGTCGTCGTTTCTTTCTCTCGAACGCGCAGCGGCGAGAGACGCGCGCGATAACGCGCGCCGAATCCGGTCGAACGCGGTATTTCGACGGATTCGTCGTTTCTGAAGGCGAAAACCGCGCGACCGCGGAGAAATTTTTTCCCGCTCGCGCGACGTCATCGTCGTCGCTCGAGCGAGCGAGTATAAAGACGCGACGGATGTTTCGAGGTGCGCACGTGCCTCGCGGATGATCGCGATCGGTCTATCCGATCGTTTCTCGGGAAGATAAGTTCGCGAACGACGAAGCGCGCGTATGAGCGGCGCGAGTTCCACCAGAGTCGTCTCTACCGTAGGGGTAGGGTGCCGTCGACGGTAGGGCGGCGGATAAGGAAGAAGATTTGGCGCGCCCGATAGGCAACGACAACGTCGAGTTCAAGGAGAGCGCGCGATGGAACGTCGCCACTATATCATCTGAGAAGAGCCGTTCAAACGCACAGTCGGCGCGAGGAGTTGTGGGTCGAGACGGCTCTGGCCGAGAGTCGCAGAGCCTTCGTTTATAACGTTAAACTAGACAGGTGATTTGACGCGAAGTATCCGAAGTCGAAGTACCCAAAGGGTTATCCGTATTCGGAGGGTTGGAAATTCCACTCGTTCGATTATCCCCAACCGGAAGTTCGATATTTCTCGTCGCTCACGCGCTGCGAGATTTTCCCGCCCGAGGATAACGCGGGTAGAATTCTGCGATACACGTACAATCGCGAGGACAGCGGTCGCGAGTACCCGTTCCGCCGAAATATGTTCTGCGGCGTCCATTTGATACGCTTGAGGCGCGAGTTGTCGATCCGCCGATCGATCGCTACGTCCGAGTGTTGAAGGAGAGGATCGCGTGGAGCGTCACGATTTATTCGACGAGGCGGGCGATCGGTCTTCGAGACGCGCGCGAGGAGCTGTGGATCGAAACGGTCCTGGTGTGTAGCGGAAGAGCGGCGAGATTCGACGCCGGAGATACGCGGGTGACCGGGACGCGTCGCGGGTTTTCGCTGTCGGTGGATTCGCGAGGCGAGACGCTGTAGATAAGGCCCCGCGGGGAGGAGAGAGAAAGAACGATGAATCGCCGTAGGGAGAGAAGAGGACGCGACCATGCAGGAGGAAGAGCGCCGAACGCTCGAGAGCGCGCGCGACGTCGCCACGACAGACGACTATCGCACGTGGACGCGATGGTGCGAGCAGTGTCTCGCGACTCTGCGCGAGAGGTGCCTAGACGCGAGTCGCAAAATCTCCACGGGGGCGAGGACCTCTCTGGTCGCCCGAATCCTGCGAGTGATCGGCACGAGGAATGATCTACGGCGACGATTCGAGCGCGAGGGCGCGGATGTCGCCAGACGCGAGAACGACAGCAGCGGCGGTAGCGGGGTCGAGTCGCGCGAGGGATTCTCGTGGTCCGAGGTCGAGAGCGACATATCGAGCTAACGTTTATTCTGTATTTTCTCAGATGCATGCATTACTTTCGCACGAGCGAGAAGCTGTCGGCGCACAGCGAGGATTGCGGCAAGCTGAACGATTGCGCGATTGTTCTTCTCGGCGAGGACGACAGGTGGCTGGAGTTCGATCATCATTCGAGAAAGCGAATTCCGTTCATGATGTACGCCGATCTGGAGTGCACGTTGGAGAGGAAGGAGGGGGACGAAGGCGGGAGAACCAAGAATACGAGGATCGTTCAGCATCACAGAGTTCACAGCGTGGCCTATTACACGCGTTGCTCCTTCGACGACGCCGCGTCGGCGTACGGATCTTATCACAGCGAGGATTGCGTCGCGTGGTTCGTGCGCGAGTTGCGCGATCTGGCGCTTCGCGCGAAGGTCGCCCTCGGCGCCATGGTACCGATGGCGGATCTGACGTCGGACGAGCGGGAGATATTCGCGAGCGCGTCGCGCTGTTACGCGTGCGAGAGACCGTTCGAGGCCGATGATGCTCGCGTGCGCGATCACTGTCACTTGACCGGCGACTTCAGAGGTCCGGCGCATTCCGCGTGTAATTTGAATTACAAGGACCCCTACGTCATACCCATATTCTTTCACAATCTATCGGGTTACGACGCGTACTTCATTATCAAGGATGTGGCTAACGTGTATCCCGGCAGCGTCGAGTTGTTGCCGGTGACGAAAGAATCGCACATAGCTTTCTCGAAGACCGTTCGAGATACCGCAGCGGCGGAGGGAGACGGGGGAAACGCCGCGCGTTCCAGATACGTCAAATTACGATTCGTTTTTAGGCGTCGGTCTCGATAAGCTGGCGTCGTATCTCAACGAGAGCAAACTGACGATCGCGCGAGGCGAGTTTCGCGATCTCTCTTACGCGCAAGGGCGTGTTCCCGTACGAGTATGTCGACAGCGTCGAGAGATTGCGGGAGACACGTCTCCTGCCGCGCGAGTCCTTCTACAGTTCCCTGATCGGCAATACCGTATCGGAGAGCGATTACGCGCACGCGACGCGCGTCTGGAAGCGATTTAGCGTCGAAACCCTGGGCGAGTACAGCGATCTCTATCTGAAGACCGACGTTCTTCTGCTCGCGGACGTGTTCGAAAATTTTCGCGCCGCTTGTTTGGAGAATTACGGTTTAGATCCCGCGTATTACTTCACGCTGCCGGGATACACGTGGGACGCGATGCTTAAGTACACGGGGGTCCGTTTCGAACTGCTCATCGATATCGATATGATGATGTTCGTGGAACGCGGAATACGCGGCGGTCTGGGTCAGTGCTCTAACAAATACGCTCGCGCTAACAACAAGTACATGAGCACGTACGATCCGTCGATCTATCTGATGTATCTCGATATCAATAATCTGTACGATTGGGCGATGTGTCAGCCGTTGCCGTATGAGCGATTCGAGTGGGACGACGATCTCGAGAGTCTCGACGTGATGTCCGTGACGGAGGACTCGATCGTCGGCTACATTCTCGAGGTCGATCTCGACTATCCGACGCCCACGACGCCCACGCTGATCTACCGTTTTGTCCCACGCGCGATAAGCCGCCGGGGAAGCGGCAGAGCAAACTCCTAGCCACACTGTACGATAAGCGCCGATACGTCACGCACTATCGCAATCTGCAGCAGTGCGTTCGTCACGGTTTGCGTCTGACTAGGATTCATCGCGCGCTGCGCTTCTCGCAGTCGTCGTGGTTACGCGGATACGTGGAACGTAACACGCGTTTACGCACTAACGCGAGTAACGATTTCGAGAAGAATCTGTACAAGTTGATGAACAACGCCGTCTTCGGCAAGACCATGGAGAACGTGCGCAATCGCGTGGACGTTCGATTCGCGACTCGATGGGACGGGCGATTCGGAGCCGAGACGTTCATCTCCAAGCCGAATTTTCACAGTAGAAGCGTTTTCTCGGAGAATCTCATGGCCGTGGAATTGCGCAAATTGGAGGCGAAGATCGACAAACCGACCTACGTAGGCATGTCCATTCTCGATATATCCAAGATTCGTCTGTACGCGTTTCACGAATACATGTCGCCGCTCTACGGCAATAAGTGTAAAATATTGTACACCGACACGGAGAGTCTCATTTATAGCATAGAGTGCGAGGACGCGTACGAGCGAATGAAGCGCGACATCGATAGATTCGACACGAGCGATTACGCCGTCAACAATCCCTACGGCGTGCCGCGCGCGAATAAAAAGGTTCTCGGTCTGATAAAGGACGAGGACAACGGCGCTCTCATGCTCGAGTTCGGACTCGGGGCGAAGATGTACGCGTTGCGAGTCGAGGGTAGGGGCGACACTAAGAAGAGCAAGGGTGTGAGGAGCAGCGTCGTCGCGAGAACGCTGACGTTCGACGATTACGAGCGCTGCCTGAGACAGGAGATCGAGATGACCCGTGAGCAATCGTGCCTGAGATCCAAGTTACACGAGGTGTACACCGTGCGCGAGTCGAAGGTCGCGCTCAGTCCGTACGACGATAAGCGCTACGTCGTGCTGGATTCGACCGACACTCTGTCGTGGGGGCACTACAGGATACCTCTGTGAAGAGAGGCGCGGATAGATCCTAAGCGTGATGCGACGTATTTTTATAGATATGCGTGATATATTTTATAGATATGCGTGATGTATTTTATAGATATGCGTAATGTATTTTATTATCTTTAATGTTATACAATATATATATGTTCGCTGCGACGCGTTACAATACGCGCGATGTATTTTCTTATCTTTAATATTACAAATATATATATTCATTGCGATGCGTTACAATACGCGTGATGTATCTTTTCGTCCGTAATATTACGCGAAAATATACGTATATTCGTCACAATATGTCGGCTTTGTCGATCCACGAATTATGCGACCTGTCCATTCCCAGTCACTTCACGAGAACCGCGTCGCCCTTTCGGCGCAGCACTCTCTCCACGAGATACACGTCGAGATCGGAGACTCGCTGCAACTCGTGCTCGTAGAATCCGCCGGCTATCGACTCGCCGCGCGAATCCATCAGCAGATACGTCGCGGGATTCGTCCTTCGCACCTCGGCTATGCGGAAGATCTCCGCGGTTCAATTCGGCATGTATCCCTTCTCGAACAGCGTCTTGTACTTGCTCACGCGCACGGGATCGTTCGGTCGAAATTTTCCCGGAGCGACAATCATCGGGTGGTCGTACACCGTCGACAGGAGTCTCGACGCTCGAGCGGACGTCACGTCGATCGGATGCATCCCGATGGTTCGATGCTTACGAGCGTTGTACTCGGATATTAGACGCGGCAGCGCGTCAAGCCATTTGTATGTTCCATTCAGCGTGAAGTACTTCCACATCGAGTTCTTGAGCGTGCGATTGAAACGCTCGACGATGGACGCTTTCAGCACCGAATACATCGAGTAGTGATTGATTCTGTGTCTATCTACGAATCTTCGCACTTCGGCGTTGTAGAACTCCTTTCCTTTGTCGGTCTGCAGATTCCTCGGGCGACGTCCGGAGGCGCGCGTCACGCTCGACAGGGCCCGAGCGACCTCGCCGCCGCTCTTTCTCTTGAGCGGTACCGCCCACGCGTACTTGCTCAGAGCGTCGATGACGGTGAGTATGTAATTGTGGCCTCTGTTCCGTCCGGTGTAAGGACGCATCTCGACGACGTCTGCTTGCCACAGATCGTCGTATCCGCGCACCGTGACGCGGCGGCGGAGGAAGTTCTTTCTCGCTGGCGTGTGCTGCTCGTTCACGAGTCTCCGTTTCGCGGCGTTCATCGCGCCGTCTCTATTTTTTTCTACCCTCTCTTCGACTGTTGCTTATCAGGAGTTTTAACGTCCAGTTGTATGACTACCTTATTCGGATCGATCGTCTTAGGAATCGCAACTGCCGCCGCCTTCGCCGTCGCCGTCGTCGTCGTCGCGGCCGTTCTTCTCGCGAGTTCGTTCGCGTCTTTCCTCAGACGCGCCACCTCGGCGTCCAGTTCTCGCAATTTCGCGTTGGAAGTCAGCGCCTTCGCCGTCAACTCCTGCAGCGTTCTGTCGTGACCACTCAACGTGGCTCGATTTCTCTCGTTGTTCGCCGCTACGTTGTTCACGTGCGACAGAGATCTCTCCAAAACGCGCATTCGCTTCTCCGTTTTCTCGTCGATCTCCTCGAGCCGCGCGACCGAGGTCCCCAGTTCGCGCAACAGTTTGCTCGACGCGTCCCCGTTCGCCCGATTCGTCTCGACGGAGCTCTCCAGATCGCCCAGTCGCTTGTCGGCGACCGCGCGTGAGGCCGATCTCTCCACCTCGACGGTTTCGATCCTCGTCGCGGCGAGCTCCTGCAGATTCTCCAGCGTTTGCAACCGATTCTCAAGAGCGCTTCCCCTCGCGCGAATCTGCGTAACGTCGGTTTCCAGAGCTCTCGATCTTTCGGTCGCAGCGCTCTCGAGAGCGTCGATCTTCTTGCTCAGAGCGACGATTTTCTTCGCCGACAAGGCCGCGATGTTATCCACTCGCGTTCTCACGCTCGCGATAAGCTGGTGATTATTCGTCGCGTTTGCTCTCACCGCATGTATAACGCTTTCGACGTAACTCTTGTTCGTCGCGTCGTCGTTGTTGGTCGGCCAGGCCACTCCTCGTATCTTGAGACGCCGCGCATCGTAATGCGACGCGGAGGGAGAGACGTCGGAGACGGTCAGGCACAGCGCGTTATCGCACACATAATTTCGCAGAGATTCCACGCTCGCGCGCAATCTGGCGCTCGTCGCGTCGCGACCGCGTCTTCTCCGCGTCGACACTCCGAACTTGCTCGCGAACATTGCGTCGTCGAATGAAGCGTGCGCGCGCGTCGCCGCGATCGTCTCGCAGTTTCTCGCCCGCCTCGTGGAGCTCTTCGATTATCGACAGGATCTCGTTGTCCTGAGCGTTGTTGCCGGCTTGACGAGAAGCGTCCAGCAATCGGAGATGATCCACCAATTCGTTCGGATCGTTCCAGTGAACGTAGTCCACGGTGTCGCGGGTCGCGCGCATAGCCCGCCGATTCTATTCCTCGGACTGTCCGTCTGCAGGATCGGAGCTATGACGTGCTTGTACTTGTATCCCTTGTTTCCTAGTACGGGCATGCGAATATTGTCCTCGCGTCTGTGAGCGTTAGTTTGCAGAAGTATGCTCCTGTACGCGGCTTTGTCTCTCTCAGTGTACTTGAAATCGTCGGGAATTCTCTTGTAGATCAATTCGTACAGACCGGGAGTACCGGCGTATCTGACTCCGTCTACGAATATCGCGTCGTCGGCACCTATGTCGAATCGCCTGTTTCCGAGCATAGTGCCGGCGAAAGTAGACTCCGTAAACGTGATCGAAATCGCTCGGCGCGCCGCCGCTGAGAAGAGCGCCCACGTACTTTCGCGCCAATGGACCCAATTGATCGCGCAACATGTTTCGCCCTCGAGGAGTCCGCAGAGACCATCTCACAGACGTTTCGAGCGTCGCCGGCGATCCGAAGAAGACGTCGTCGCTCGTGTCGAACCTCTCCTCGACGGGCGGCTGCGCGAAGAGGTCTCCGCTCGCGAATTCGCGCTGCTGCGCGGGAGACGCGTCCGACGCTCCCACAGGCGTGGAAGTCGTCGCGTTTAGACGGCGAGATCGCTTAGCTTTGAATCCTTTCGCGGACAGTGGCGGTAACGCGCTCTCCTCGGCTTCTTCCTCATCGTCCTCCTCCTCCTCCTCCGGCGCCTCCATTCTCTTGACGCCTCGCGCGAACGTCTCGTTGATTTCGCTCTTCGCCGGTTCCTTCTCTCTAGCGCTCGCGCCTCGCGCGAAATCGTCTCCGACGCGCTCGGCGATGCGTCGCAACGGTTCGACGATCGGTTTGAAACGCGTCTCCAGAGTGCTATCGCTCTCCATCCTTCCGGTCTTCAACACTCTGTGCTTCCTGCGAATCGACGCGTTCTCGCTATCTCTATCGCGGTTTTCTTGCGTCTGTCGACGTCCGTCATCGCGCGTCGTTCCTCGACGTTTCGCCTTCTCTTATCTCTCTCCCCTCTACGATCGCCGCCGTCTCGGGAAGACTGACTTATCCTCGGTGATGACGACGCTCGCGGCGCTCTACGGCACGGCATAATCGTTGAACCCTCGCCTGTATCTGCCGTTGCGCAGCGCGCTATCTTTGTCGATCACTAGAAAACCGTATCGGTATTTCCAACACGCGCGACATAGCGCGTGAAAATCCTCGTACGACATATCGATATTCACGTGATCGCTGTGCACGTGTTTCAGATTAGTGCCATCCTGTTTAAAGAGTATCAATAGATTCGCGTTGTCGCGTATCAGATGTTTGGGTATCTTAGCGTACGATTGGCACAGATAGAAGCAATCGACCTTCGCGTGACGCCCCATGGCGAAGTACTCGACGTCCTGTTTGTCGCAGGCCACGTCGTCGAACACGAATATCGAGTTCGGCGACGCCTCGCTAGGCGGGATGACATCGGCGTTGTTCGAATACGTGAAGTAACCGATATCCCGCATAGGTTTCAACAATTTCTCCAGATATCGATATTTAGGCTGATGCAACAATTTTGAGTAAACGTACACGTTCTCGAATCGCACGCCGT